TCATTTGGTAAAAAAAAAAAATTGTTTAAAAGATTTATTAATTTTTCATAATTTTATTTTTAGTGGGTAGAAATAATTTTTAAAAATTCAAAAATATTTGTTTGACATTCATTTTTGTCAAATTAATTTATATTTTATCAAATTAACAATTTTATCCTTGAAAAATCTAATAATATTTTCAATTGTCCTTATTTGAAACAGGATTCAAAATTCAGGGTCAAATGTGTCATAATTGAAAAGTCAGGGACCAAAATGACACAAGCCCCAAACTATAGGGACTATTAGTGTAATTCACCCAAAAATTAAATAAATTGTTACAAAAGTATTTCACATAAAATTTTGCAATTAACTTCAAGTAAAATCGAAAGGAAAGTATTGCATACAACTAGTGTATCATGGACAATGTAAAAAAGTCATATATTTAAGTCGTAAAATAAATTATATAATAGTAAGATAAATCAAATTTTTACAAAATTTGAGTAAAAATTTCATATAATAGTGATATCATGTCATTATTGATATATGATATCACAAACCAATAGTAAAGTAGCATATGTAGGTTGAACTCCACATGCAAATATAACTAACACTCTAGTAATTTTTATATATATATAGTGAGATTAATTATATTTACATATTAATAATGATGGATATTACCTTTATATTGAGATTTTTTTACAAAATTTGCATAGGTAAAAATATAATTTGTTGTAGTCACTTCATTTTCAATAAAACAATCACTATTATTTTTATAAATTTAAAAATGCCATTTATATTTTATTCTAAATATTATTTTTGTTTAAAATTTTATTTATATACATATATTAAAAAAAAATTAAAAAATCCAATGGGGCACGCTACCCCCTAGTCCCCACGTGGCTCTTCCACGGCATGTTATAGTTATACACTAGCAATTGACGCATGCAATGCAAGTGTTAATTTAAAAAATATATATCTTTGATGGTACGATGTGTGTTATAAAAGAATATTTTTAATTTTAATTTAAAATTAAAATTAAAGTACGATTTTAATTATTTATTTTGATAATATTGGCGCTATCGTTCTATAAAATTGTTACTTGAATACTTATATATATATATATATATATATTAATTTTAGTTAAATTATTTGTGCATTTTGATAATTTTAATTTTGTTGTATTAGAGTTTGAAGCCTTCCTCCTCTTTCCAGGGATGAACACATCTTTGACTAGTCCAAACTTGCGGAAGAGCTGGAACAAACCCTGAGGATCCATCGATTCTGGGATGTTATCTATAAAAATTGTAATCAAAGCTCCCCCCCACGACTCTGCACTTGGATGTCCTCCTCGTCTTCTTCGTATTACTGGGTTCCAACCCTGGGGATCCATCGATTCGTCTTTTTTCACAATTAACGTATCCTTTTCAAATCCCCTCGCAGTTGAGTTGGTCTATTCGGATAAGTAGCAGAATATTTATGTCAGTCCCAATTAAAACCCAAGCGCATGATTCACTGTCAAAATACAGTTTGACAACCATGAGCTTTCTTCCACTTACAAAAACTTGAAAAAATAATATTGGCGCTATCGTTCTATAAAACTGTTTCTTGAATATTTATATATATTAATTTTAGTTAAATTATTTGTGTATTTGATAATTTTAGTTCTATCAAATTATACAAGTGTAATTATCATATAATAATTTTATATGATATATATTAAATTATAAAATAATAAAATAAATGCTCATTTTGATATTAAAAATAATAGTTAAATTAGAAGAAGTATTAGTAAGATAAAATTAAAAGTAATTCTAACTATTTAATTTTCTTTTATATTCATTTGGAAAATAAAAATATGTAGAAATAGAAATTATATAAAATTATTAAAAAAATTAAATATAAATATGTTATAATTGGATTATTATATAATGATTTTATATGATATATATATATATATATATTAAATTATAAGATTGTAAAATAAATACTATTAATTAAATTAAAATATTAACTATATAATATAAATTCAACAACGACTAACCAAAAAAGAATCACATAACAACATGAAAACCAAACATTTTTTTAAAAAAAAACATCAAAACAATAGATATATCTCAGTGTGTGAGGTGATTAATTATCTATAATATAATGCCAAAATATAAAAGAATTTACCGTTTAACAATTAAAAAAGTAACTCAAGCAGTAAATCCAAACTTAGAGGTTTCTTGAGAGTATCATTGTTGTGCAGATTTTTTCTCTTGTGAGTTGTGATTATTAAAATAAAGTAAGAAATAAAATATAATTTCATATATAGAATTACTATAAAATTTAAACGATAAATCCATAATATAGAATTGATATTATATATAGAATAATGTACGGAAAAAAAGAAGAAGGCAATTTAGCATTGAAAAAGTCTTAATACCTTTGAAAAAATTAAGAAGAAAAACGTGAAATACAAAATTGGTATTGGGTTTGTAAATTATCTCAATTTACTATAAAAATATATGTAAAAGAAATATTTATCAAATAGAGTCTATATAAAATATGTAAAGTTAATTTAATTTAAATTAGGTTCTGGTTTGTATAAAACTCTTTATGTAATTAAGAAAATACATACTGATACGGCACTCTTAAAAAAAATAAACCCTCATAATATGCCACCTAAATATGAAAAAAATATTACTTTTAATAATATATATGATAGATCTGTTTTAAATATAATTTTTTTTTTTTTTTTTTTTTTTTTGGCGGGGGGCGGCAGGTGTGATCAAAATTTTGGTGCAAGGATAGATTCATCTTTGAGCTCTACCAATGTGATTTTAGAAATTCCAGGTCTGACAGCTACTTATTACTATCCAAGTTGTCAGACATGTCGGCGAGGAACAAGAGAAAAAATTAAAGAGCAGTGAAGTGGGGTTAAAAATGATAGAGATAGAGACCCCCCACAACTATTTATTTATTATCTCTCTGTCCTTCAATTTCTCAGCTTAGAATTGTTCTTTAACAGCATTGACAATGATTCTCACAACAGAGACATCTATATACTGTGTATGTAGTTATTGAAGGCCAAGTCCAATAATGGAACCACACAGTAAAAGGCTTCCATAGTGCAACTCAATAATAGATGCTAACAGAGATGATAAAATTCACAGGCTGATTGTGTATGTATGCATACAATAGTGATATACATGTGTCATGTAAGAAATAATCATATGAGTTGAGTTGGGCATGATCTCATCATTCATCTCTCATGTCCCATAAAAAAAGGGATCATGGACTAGTTATAGTTTATATGGTGTTCTTGTGTATGTGATAAGAAATTTTGGTTGACTCTACGAATTGTTGAGAATATATATATAGATATAAATATATTTGGTTAATGCCACCAAAGAAAGTTGTCTAAAATTTGAAAGTGGTGGAAATTCAATTAGTGTTTTGCGAAGTCCATGCACAAAATGAATTTAGACTATACATTGATGTTTCTCAATAAAATGTTGAGTAAAAATTTTGAGTATGTAGTATTATTGAATGTAAATAATAAAATTGTATATGAGAACAAGCCAAAATGGGGGAAATTTATTTGGTAAGCCTTGATGCCTATGAAGCACAAGTGTGGGTACGAGTATAATACGGGTACATCGATACGAAAAACCCTAAAAAAATAGGATAAGTATACGGCTAGGATACGTCAATAATTTTTTTTTATTTTTTATTTTTTATAATTTATAGTTTGATATTTAATTTACAAATCAAAGTTCAATATGAAAACTAAAATGAGAACTTACAAAACCGAAAGAGAAATCATAATTCAACAATACTAATATCAAAGTAAAGTCTATAAACTATTTTAATGTCACTAAATAGGAGAAATTACAAAATAAAGTTTTATTCCAAAAACAGTTTAGCAAAATTTAAAATTTTGAAATTTTAGTTTTCACTTCCATCAATTTTAGCATTGAATAATATATCTTTCATCTTTGGAATATCAAATAAATGATTTGCAATATTTTCAAGTAAATAAGAATTCTCTAATAAATTAAACGAATCCCTACTAATGTTCCATAACTTGATATACTCCCGATGTATCCATAAAATATTCACGAAGTACGCAACTGCTAAAGAATGTATAATAAATACTCGATACGTATTTTGAGTACCCAGTATGCATGTAGCCCTATCAATACGAATATCAATACCCAATAAATACTCGATACAAATACGATAATATTTTCAAACTGCTCATATTTCATAGCTTGATGCAGCTCTCAAACTACACTATCCCAAGAAAGTTATATGATAATGATCAAAGGTGGCCATGATGACATCAACATTACTTGGAGCATGTTTTGAAAGCGCATTTCAATTTATAATTCAACAATAATATTTTTCATGACATTGCAATAAAGAAATCTTCACAAAGCCATTCGGAAGGGAAAAAAATAAATAAAAAAGAATAAGAATTGCAATTGGCAAAATTGTATCATCTCAAGATCATGTGTCTGAAATAGGTGGCAATATTTCTATTGAATCCCTTTAAAAGGACCTGAATTCTATCTGAAATGCTATGTTTAAACCGAATTACAAGTGCTTCAATTATTGATTCTCGTAGACAATACTATGCCATAGCAAGGTTATTTTCAACAACACTATATATTCAAAAAAAAAAAAATAGAAATTATCTAGATATTTTGATTGATTTATCAATGTGTTGACTACCACAAATGTGCAAATATATATACTTGTACATCTTCATTGTATTATTGTATATCAATCCAATCACTGTTATCAAATACTGTCAAACTATCTCCACCAAAAAAAATTTTTTTTTTTTGGGTAAAAAATTTGAATGATCAAACTAGAATGTAGATGGTAGGTCTTGGTCATTTTCTTAAGAATAAGTTACAAGTATTATAAAGTCAGTGTCATAGTCAACTTTTTTCAAAAAAAAATAAATAATAATAAATAAAAAAAAAATTGCCCTATTTATTGTAGTTTGTGTCCTTTTGCTTTCCATTCCCTCTCCATTCACCTAAATGCTCTTTGCCTCCCTTTTCCCTCATCTTCCTTACCTTTTTGACACTGTTTCTGCACCTTATTTTTCTGTCTTCTTCATCTAGGGTTTCTTTTCTCAACTCAACCCAACAATAAAGAGTTCAAAAGATTCTCATCTTTCAATGGCTGCAATGTTTTTCTCCGTTGGCGGACAATCAAACGATAGTGATTGAAAGAAGTTACTCTAGGGAGACAAGGTACTTTTTTTAATTATTTTTTTTTTAACCTTCATCAAATCAAAAAAAAAAAAAAAAAAAAAATTCTAGCTTATAAAGAAAGAGTAAGTGAAATTTGTTTTTGTATTTTGCTAATTTTGTTATGTCTGTTTGTAGGTTAAAATAATGAAAGTTGCATTATTTTAGGTTGCACTTGCAGACCTTGAATCAGGCTTTGGTAAGTAGTCAACATGTTCCTTCATATAGATAACAATAAATAAAGATCGTTGCAACTATATTGAGGTCATGATATCTACTATAGCAGGAAAATGAGTGATCTTTTAGGATGCTTGGTAGGTGTCTTAGCTACTGCAACTTAAATGCTGTGTGTGTGTGTGTGTGTGTGTGTGTGTGTGAGAGAGAGAGAGAGAGAGAGAGAAATGAATATAGTGAAAATCCTTACACAGGAGATTAGTACTATTTCTATCTTTCAGCTGTGATACTTTCTTCTTATTGTTTTCGTTTTTTCCTAAATTTTAAATTGTAGGGTTTGAGTTGCAGTATGGAAACCAATATAAGGAAAAGACTTTTGTATCTTTGATAGTGTTTGTAGTATTTTTGTACCAATTTTTTGGGTTTTTGGCAGATGTGAGTTGAAAGGAATTCTAGATTTTGTAACTTTGTGCATTTTATGTGTTTTTAACTTTCAATTGTAGTCGCCAAATGTTTAGCATGAGAATTTGCTTTGGAAAGAGACAAAACAAATTTAAAAGAAGATAAAAAAAAGGAAGATGGAATCTAGTAGTATTACTCTTCTAAACAACTACTACTACTAGAAGAACCACATGGTACTTGCTAACAAAATGTGAGTCATAGTAGTCGGCTTGTGAAGGGCTTTGTTCCTTTCAGTCTATTTAGTGTAGCATTACTGACTTATGAATGAATTTATTACTCTCTTTTTTAATTATTATTATTATTTTAAATTTTGAAGGCTAGTCTTTATGTTTCGTAATGTGTTTTTCGCTATGATATTTCAGTTCAAGTTCTTAGTCATTCCTTTTGTTTTTGATGTCTTCACTCTCTAGATTAGTTTTAAACATAGCCAATCCATCTTAACTTGTTCTATGTATCTAGTCTTATCCCAATTTTATATAATTTTTGTACTCTAAGGACTTATTCAATTAGACTTTCTGTATGCATTCACTTGGTCATTTGCATTCTGTTCTGCTCATTATGAAAGGAGATCTTCTGGCAGTAACCCATTCCTCACAAATGAGCAGTTTTTCAAGATATATAAATGTGACTTGTCTTGTTTTAATTCCACCACAAAAACTCCAACACTTCAAGGCAGCGTTTGGATATTAAGTTTGTGAATGAATTTATAAAAGAAGAAAATATCCAAACACAACCTAAGAAAAATGCCAGAAATTGTATGAATTTACATGGGTAATGAATTGCAGTGAAGATGGCTTCTTCCAGCTACTCCAATTCTCCCTGTGCAGCCTGCAAATTCCTAAGGAGAAAATGCTTGCCAGGTTGCATCTTCGCCCCATATTTTCCGCCCGAGGAGCCACACAAATTTTCCAATGTCCACAAAATATTTGGAGCAAGCAATGTTAGCAAACTCCTCAATGAAATTGCGCCCCATCAAAGAGAAGATGCAGTCAACTCTCTCGCATATGAAGCTGAGGCACGGATGAAAGATCCGGTGTATGGTTGTGTTGGAGCAATCTCAGTCCTCCAACGACAAGTTCTTCGACTTCAGAAAGAATTGGATGCCACTAATGCTGATTTGATGCGGTTCACCAGCAATGAACAGCCTACCACGATGCCTGCCTTTGATTTTGAGTATGGTAGAAGGATGGATCAAGGAGGGGGTGCATTTGATCAGAGTTATGGTGGTTTTTCTTATCCTTATAACTCTCCATGGAATAATAACCCTTCAGGAGATAGCCCTGAGGGAGGAGGAGATGGTAGTGTGTAGCATGTGATATTATATATAATGGCAGTTCAGTGCACGAGACTCCTATTACTGTAGATTCTGGGCACGATCAGATGTACGTAACTTTCTTTCCGCTTGCGAAGAAATTATTTTTGTGATTTGAACGCATGACATCTTGGTTGCAAAGCAACTTTATCGCTTCACCAAGACCTGCCTCGTAGCATGTGATATTATATATGTGCATTGTTTTAGGTAGTGACCCATGAGGGAGGTGTGTTATGTGTAAAACCGTATGTGCATATTAGATGGGGTTTCTTCACCACATTTGTAAGGGACTTGGTTTTATGGAATATATAGTCTTGTATGGTATTTTGTGAAGAGGGTTTTTAATAAGATTAAGTTAATTAAATGCTTATGGGCTTCTCACAAGTAGAAGATGATGTATGAACTTTACTAATCAATAAGTGGATGTAGTAAGTATCATTGTCTTGTTTATAAACTGTTTATTGTCACTCTGTTGTCAGTGTGAAGTTATAGGAAAATGGGCAAGCCATTGCCTTCGTTAGCCTTTTTCATGATTATAAATTTACAAAAATGTTATGTGATGATATCAAAAAATGGATGGACTACAATTCCGGAGAGATGATGATGAAGTAGGGCTTCCTGGTATAATGGGCTGGTCTTCCTTGGCAAAGCCTACAAAACAAACCCCTTGAAGTTCACTAGTGGATGTCCTTCTCAAAGGTCCTCTAACGATCAAATTAGATAAACTTGAAGAAGATATATACTGGAAATTTAGAATTTATGAATGGATAACTTACCTTCTACAATACTGATACATTAGATAATAAAAAAAGATGCTAAAAATATATAGTTATTATAACATTAGGTAAATTATGCAAATGGTTCATGTAGTTTACATGATGTGTCAATTTGGTTCATGTTGTTTCAATTTACTCAATTTTATCCCTTAATTTAACAAACTATGTCATTTTAGTCCAATAAATAACGGTTGTTAAGTTTGGTGGACGGAAAGTCTACACAATGTGTCAATTTGGTCCTTATTGTTTTAATTTCTTCGATTTTCATGGACCAAATTGACACATTGTGTAAACTACAAGGACCAAATTAACATATAGTTTGATTTTCTGTCCACCAAACTTAATAACCGTTATTTATTGGATTAAAAATACACAATTCGTTAAATTAAAGGCCAAAATCGAGCAAATTGAAATGACAGAGATTAAATTAACACATCATGTAAATTATATGGACTATTTATATAATTTACCCTATAACATTAGTCTAAGTAGCATTTCCCTAATATCTTAGGATAATTTTAAAGCTTATATTCATTTTTTTTTTCTTTTCAATTTTGAGACCTAGAATTAGTTTATATAGAAAACAAACTGAGCTCATTGGTCCATGGCAAAAGCACAAGCCACCCATGCCTAATTTATAATTGAAATTGGCAGTGAGGTGGGTGGTTAGTTTAACTTATGGTGTGATCTAATTAATCTATATTCTAGCAAAACATACCTTTTAGTTTCAATTTTTGGGTGAGCTATAACTTTTTAATCATTTTCTCATAATCAAATTGACACACATGATCCAACCTTTCTCAATAAATAAATAAATATATATATACATGTAAGGCCCGAGTGTGAACAAAAGAAAAATGGTTTTGAGCGTCCTTGAAACTTTAAGCATTACTTTCTTTCCAATTTCCAAGTCTTTGTTCTTCAAGTCAAGGATTGATAAAAGTACTATAACACTGTTGTTTTTTTTTATTGTTTTTTATTTTGATTTTATTTTTGTTTTTGTTTTTGTTTTGTTTTATTTATTTATTTTTTTTTTGGTGGGGAGAAGAGTAGGGATGACAATGGATAACCTACCCTGTGGGTATCCATGGAGACCCAACCCAAATACATGGGTTTTCCCCTCTTTTTTTTATCCATTGGGTAGGGTATGTGATATTCTTTAAATATCCATAGGGGATGGGTTGGGAATGGGTACCCACTAATTTCCCCATATGTTTTTTTTTTTTTCACAATCAAAACTAAATATACATTTAATCTTTTTTCTTTTATTTATTTATTTATTTTTTTAGGTTCACAACTTTTTTTTTTTTTTTTTTTTTAA